TATATATATATATATACACTGTGTACTGTTCCAGTGGTCAATGTTTATAGTAAACTAGGCTAAAGTTTCATATAGTGAGGTCATTGTATGTACAAATAGTCTCTCTTAGCCAAAAGTTCAGGCTCCAGACTGCTCTGTTTCAGTCATCTTTTTCTACTCTTAGCTTTGTATGATGTCATCAAGAGTGGATGCACTTAATACGGTCATCACAAGCACTCATCCTCACCCACCTTTAACTTTCTGTTTACTAGAGGCAGCCAATCACAAGAAACCTCACATGGCTCGCTTTCAGACCGAAGATTGACTGAGAGGCTGTATACTGATAGCATCATGTAATAGGCCCTGCTTAGTTCTAACCATGCTGGTGCAAGTTAATTGTGACTGATTATATGAGAGGTCGCTAAGTTCAAAACCTCACGATGATAAGCTCAGGAACACTTTCATGTTTGATCTGTAAATCTGTCAGTTTGTTATGTCAGCTTTTCCACTTTTTCTGCAGGAGGTGCAGACAGAGCCAATGCTGAATGCGCTGAAAGATCCAAAGAAAAAAGGACGATGCAAGAATAAAGATGGCATGGCTTCAGCCCATCTACCAATCAGAACGGATCAGGATTTCTCAAAGAGTGAGTCTTAATCGAAATGTCTTTTTTTTTTTTACAGTTTCACATTTATAATAAATAAAATGTAAACGAAATATGTTATTTGCCCCATATGGTTTGATATAACTATTATATATAATATATGATTCATATTGTATGCATCATCCAGTTTAAAAAAAAATCACCAAATGAAATGATTTGTTTTTAAACACTAACCAAAGTGCTCAACAAATGAAACATTAGCTTGCTACTATACGGCATATACTTGTCCTCTGCCTCATCAGAGGCTTCTCAAATAACTCTCTGAAGCCGTTACCAAGATGCCCCATGAGTGGCGAGACTTGCTCATACTTTTCCATTATGTTTTACTTTCTACTCATTGTAAACTGTGTAAATCTTAGTTGTACAAAAATAGCTACAGCTATGGTTGAATTCATAACTTTTTACCCTTGTTCAGTGGTACAGCATTAAACGTCCTTTAGAAATTACTTTGCATTGGGATACAAAGATGACTTCCTGTTTTAAGTGTTGAGTCTCTTGATGGTGCTATAATGTTAATGCTTAACAGAGTTACAACGAATATAAGTTTTACAATAGAGAGGTTAAGTTTTAATGTTGTGACCTGATTTACTGAACCTTTAGTTTGAAACTAGGTTAGTTAAACTAGATTACTGCAAATATAGAAAGGATGTTCTTGATAAACAACAAAAGTTCTCTAAAGGTGAAGTAATTCATCCAGTTTTTCTGTTGTTCTTTGTCATCACACAGAGAGTGAGCTGGCGGCCATCACCATTGAATGGGATGATACACATGCGCACCTCCATAACATGGGTTACCACAAGGGGAAACTGCTGGTGAGGGAAGCCGGTTCCTACTACGTTTACGCCAAAACTTGCTTTCGCTATTACAATTTAAAAGCGCAAGGGCCAATTTCAGACGACAATCCCCCAGTGGATGTTAAAAACACCCAGCTCTTCCAGTACTTGTGCCATGAGAGCATCAAACACAACAGCAAGGCTGTGGTATTAAGCAAGATGGGCAGCACTATGCGGTGGAACGGCACAACCTATAATATGTACTGTGCCCAGCAGGGACGAGGGGTCCAGCTGGATGTCGGAGATGCCTTGTTTGTCAATGTGTCCAACGCCTTCATGCTGGACCTGGCAGGAGAAGCGACGTATTTTGGGGCCATAAAGTGGGGTATCTGAAACTTAAATACATGGGGAGCGGACATGCTACTGAACATTTGATATGCCAAAGAACCACTGTTAGTGATGTTAATTTGTCAAAATAGTATTTTTTTTGTTTTTGTTTTTTTTTAATTGTTTTGTTTTTTGTGTCACATTGTTTTGCATCAGATAGCCTTTTTAGACTCTTATTATGAGGAAAAACTTATGCAAAAGGTAAACACCTTTCAAAAAACAAACTTGTCTTTCCACTTTCTGTTTTTCCTTTCCCAAAAAGCAGAACTAGCACTCTCTACTTCACCCAAAATAGCACTTGAGTTTTATTGGACTTTTTTGTGGTTTGTGTTGGGGAATTTAAATACATTCAGTTTAGATTACAACATTTAGACTTAAGGATTGACATGTGTTTATGCACTAATTAAACGATTCACAAGGGAGCAACTAAGGAAGTAAGTTTGTTGGGAGGTGCAGCAAGAAAGGATTTATCAGTGCTGATTGTTGGAGAAAAATGTCCAAAGAGAGAATTGGAGTTGATAGAGCATCTGCTTGTACTTAGCAGATTATCACAGGATAAAAATAAGGCCTTGGTATAAGTGTTTTCTTGAAAGTCTTTGGAAGTCAGATCAAGGCAGGCAGTGAAGCATCCTTGCAGTTTAGCAACTTTAGCGGATAGTGACAGTAATAGGTAATTTCACCCAAAAATGAAAATGAAAATTTAGGTTTAGTATGAGTTTGACTTGGGGCCATGGGGTTGTTGCTCCAAAAACATTTATTATCCATCTTTCTGCCCCAAGTGGTCATTTGAAGGTTACAACATGACAATGTCATAAATGACATGTTTGTTTCATTTATGACGATCAGCAAGTGAAGCAGATAGCAGGACTGTCTGACCATGAATGACAGGAATAGACTCCTGTCTCTTCTTTCACTAGACGGACCAAGTTGAGTTTGGTTCATCTTTAACTTAACTTTTTTTTTGTTTTTTGTTTTTTTTTTCATTTGGCTCTTAGTGAGGTAAATGGGAATATGCACTAAATATTTATTTATTAGCTAGAAAAGTACAGAGACGGGCCACTGTTAAAGTGACCTTTCGGCTGTAAAATCATTTATATTTTATGTCTGTATGACATTCATTAAGCAGCACTTAGAGGAAATAGTAGGCACGCTTTTTGTTATTAAAACACAGGGGCTTCCTTTTAAATTCTATATTTATGTATCTCGATTTTTGACAATTCTGTGTGTACTTGCCTAGCCAAAAGCAATATGGTTATATTGTTTCTTCTACAAGATTGTAGCACACCTGTAAGACCTTCATCTGTTTTCATCTGCTAGATTTTTCTATTCAGTGTTCTTTTTATTTATGTTTGTGTATGTTTTAATAAAAAAAACCTACTTTTTTACAATTGTTTCAAGTGTATTGGAAAAGACCCGATCCAGGCTGTTGTTTGGTGTGGCTGAACTTCACAGGATTAGCTGCCTCAAGCTGTAAGGTGATGAACAGGCCACCCTGACTGTGATATGATTGCAATGTGAAATTTGATAATCTCCAAAATCTTTGGAAAATTCAACACCGCTGTTGCCAAAGAATGATGTCACGTTGTACCTTTACCTCTGCACACCCGGTCACAGTGGCCCACTAGAAACCGCCCACTACTGCTAACTCACAGCAGATATTTGGAGACCCGGCTCGAAACGACCTGCAAAATAAACAAGAAACAGCCTGTATGTAATATGTAGGAGTCGTTTTGATCATCGTTGTAATGGGTCTCCCATGAAGCCCTGCGGCACGCAAGAGAAAGAGAAACTCTTAATGTTAGACCCAAAGCCAAACAATTCCTCTATTGTGTGATCTTGGGTGTTCACCAGCATATGGCCAGAGAATGACTGGGGTTCACACGTTTGTTCTGCATGCTGGGACCTCACACGACTCTCAGCTCATTGTTCAAACACTACTTACTGAGGGTCTGAAATGAAATCTGGGGGTGGAATAAAAATACTTGGCTGAGGTGGGTGAGGAGCTAATTAGTTTTTGAGTTTTGACTTGATTGGCATTGCCGTATTTCATTTCTGACTGCGGAAAGTATAATATAGAATTTCCCTTAATGAAAGTTCACAGAACAATAATACATCTTAAAGGCAAAAATGGGAATGCCTTTTTTTTAGAAAGCTGTTTTATACAAATAAACAATACTTGTACAAAGTTTTGCAACAACAAAGTAATTCAGCTGTGCTCAGATTTAGCTGAAGCCATAAGTGTAAACAATGGACTTCCGCTGTGTGCCACCCTTTTGATGTGACTTGATTTCTCAATTCTTGGCTCTTAGCTAAAACCATTAAAATGTGTTGTGTCAGTAAACATTATGGATAGCCTGGCATTCACTGGACCCCCACCCTGAGCATGCATCCACGGACACATACACACACACACGTGCGCGCGCACACACACACACACCCATATATGTACGCTGACAAAGAAGTCTCGCCTGCTGCGCTCAGAGGTTCATAAAATAGGTCATTTTTGCTACACGTGGAGAACTTATTTCATTACTCAAATATTTTAACACGCAAGGGGCCACAGCAACCAATATTAATGTCATATAGGTTTCAACGTACACTACAGGGCACAAGCTGCATCGCTTTCTTCTATTTTCCCTGGTGCCAGTCAGGGGTGTTTATAGAATTTTTTAAATGGGGAGGCACTGGGCCAAGAACCAGTCAGGATGAGGGCTGGGTGTCGAAAATGAATCAGATCACAAGGACTTTCATAGATGTGAGGCCTCCTGCCTCCATAAAGTCACATTAGGTTGCCATGTAGCAATATGGCAAAACTAGGTTCAACCACAGAGTAACAAAATACAAGGCTGTCCAGCTGTACATGAGTTTTATTGTACTGAGTGGTTGTTGGTAACCCCCCCCCCCCCACACACACACACACACAAAAACAAAAAACTATGTCTTAGACATCACTGTGAGTCAAAGGGGGAGTCCATATTTCAACTTAACAGCTTAAGAAATGTATTTTCTAGCATCTTGCATTAGTTATATGAGCATGCAGACATAATGTTTTAGTATTTGTCATTATATAGTTACATTTACAATGATGCCCTGAAGATGACAATGCTGTTTTTCCCAGAAAGGGGATCCAGACCCCATGTGTTCCCATGTGAATAAAAGTTTGCGGAGGCTCTTGGGTTCAAATCAAATTTCAGACAGTGGTGGTGCCAGCCCAGACCCTAGCCACACCCCTGCTGCCAACAGGTTTTCACATATTCCATGACAGTGTGTCGCAGATGAGCTCCAGCAAACACAAAGTGGATTTTATTTCCATCTTCTGCCGTTTTACGATGCATCTCCATCAGACGTGATTTCAGAGTTATTATTTCCCCATGGTTCAGAGAAGAGGTGGAGCTGTTGATTCAGAAAAACAAAGTCATGTGCTGGAAAATATATCAGGGTGTTTTCCCCCAATAAGCAGCACCAGAGGCATCGGTACTGAAGTTAATGCCATTAGCTAAGTATGGCTGCCTAGTTTTATGAGGCTTTGTGGTTTGGAGGAAATGGAGCTCTGAGAAGTCCGTTTTTACCGAGCAGCTGCAGGGCTTTGTTCTGTGCAGGTCGCTTGGCTCTCTTACATGCACTGAAATATCCACACACTTACACAATTGCACTATCAGTATACAAATTTGTGCCTACTACTGCCCTTCCTGCTTCATGCACGCATACACATGCACGCACACACACACACACACACACACACACACACACACACACACACAC